AAACATAAGATGAAAAAAATGAATTAAAAGGTGTGAATAACTCAGATTATCATCTGAGAATTGTTTCTTGCAAATCCTTGAAAATGCTGCCACAATTCCAAATTCCTGATTTCCATTTTGCAATTTTCAGTCTCTCAAATCAATGCATTGGGTCTGTGTCAGGCCAAATGCCATGGGAAAGTGTTGGAATGCTTGCAAAGCATTGCTGGGACAGCGATGCTGTGCATGTAAGAACATTACCAGCTGTGTGCTGCCACATGCTTGAGGTCCAGGACACCCCACTGCTGCCAAGGCGTATGCGTGCCAGTGATCCATGTCCCCAGTTGCAAGGCATTGCTGCTATCTCTTTCTGCCTCCTGAGTTAACACACTTGGCACAGCTGGCCCAGCAGCAGATCTGCCAGCTTGTTGCCTGTCCCAAGATCTGAAGCAGAGGCAAAAATGCTGGGCTGCACAGATTTGAGATTTGCTGGCCCTGTGGCAGAGAAGTGAGAGGTGAGGGCCAAAGACTAGTGTCATGCTGAAAATACACAGCTGCACAGTCACTGAGAAGAAATCAAAACTGCTTTTCTTTTTACAAGTTTATTTGTGAATGAAGAAACTCCTGAAGACTTTAAACTACACAGTTTGTGAAAATCTTGAGAAAAGAAACCTCCTTGCAATTTTTTTTTCCTTCCATGGACATAAGTAAGACGTCTATGTGTCCAGAGGGTCTGAGGCTTGAAAGTGTCAGGTGATCACATCAAATGGGTTTCTAGCTTCAAGGAGTAGGTCACTGTTTAGTAAATGTCTAATTTCTGTAAAAGTAGAAAATGAGCTGAAGTAGCTGAGCTGAAAGCTCAAGGTGCTTTCACAACAACCTGAGAAAGGTTGGACACCTGTAATTATGTTTTGGCTTCTGACTTTTTTCTTCCTCTCTGTAGCAGTTCTGGAGTACTCTTTCCTCTTGATCTCAGAAATGTTTCCAACAGAAAAAAAAATTATCTCTGCTTCAGAATAAAGCCATTTGGTTTCAATTTAAAGAAAATACATGCTCGGCTTATTCAAATGAACAATCTTATGTAAAAAGCAGGATTTAATCTTTGATTAAAAAAACCCTTGAAAGTACAGTTTTGATTTCATATAGGAGGAAAATAAATATGCTGATGATTTAAGGCATTACCAAAGATTTTACCCTTTGCCCCCTCCTTACTGTTACCCTCCCAAAATGCCTTTTGAAATAGTGTGAAGGACTAAGATTGCTGATGAATGAAAACCAGCAATTTTATAAGATGCTGCATAACTGCTGAATTTGACAAAATGTAAAGAAATTGCTGTTCTCCTACAGACTTCCTGTATAAAATATCTATAGATATGTTCTACATCTTGGCTAGAGCTGTAAAATAATTATAAGAAAAAATGATGTTAAAAATTTAAGCACATTAAGCTTTGTGATTAATAAAAGCGTCTACCCAAAAAAACAGTCTGAATCAGACGTGCTGGAATTCAAAAGACCTAGCATTTCAGAGTACTTAAACTCTGAAACTCCTGACTAGCTCAAAGAATTTCTGAAGGTATATATCTGTTTAGAGAAAACAAATGTGGCTTTTCCATGAAAGAGGAGTGTTACGGCTGATGGGTCAAGAACAAAATGCATTGTGTTCGCACTTGACTAAAATGAAACAGTTTTCTTTTCAATTATATGCAGTGAAGTATGTTTTCATTTATGATATAGCTCAATTTTGTTTTACAAAAACACAGATTGGAGTCCTGTTTTGAATGAATAAACACAGCACGTTTAATATCTGTCACCACTTTCTTTTGTATTTTGCTGTTTACATTTTCACTGTGGACCTTAAAGAGCTGTGAAGAAAAGTACTAGTGCTGCAATTTTGCAGAAGCTCAGGGCCAGTCAGCCACAGCAACTGGATCTGCATACAAAGTGTCCTGTGTATGCAATGCTTCCTGACATCATGTAATGGCATTGAGATACCTCAGTATGATAGACTGCCCTAAGTGACTCTACAGCCATCAGTAATGTTCATCCAGCCACTTTATAATGTGAGTGTACCGTAAGCTTACACCTTCTGATAGTCCTATCAAGCAATGAATGGTGTTTATGAAGTATACAGCAACTGGAGTAGTTGTTTAAAGACTAATCTATTCAAAAACACAGATAGATAGATCGATAGACAGATAGATAGATAGATAGATAGACAGACAGACAGAAAAATAGATAGATAGATAGATAGATAGATAGATAGATAGATAGATAGATAGATTAGATAGATAAATAGATAGATAGATAGAATCCTGATTTGGGATATCTTGCATGAAAGACAGCAAACCTAGCAGTTAATATCCTACTAAACAATACAGATGAGAATAATCTGAAAAGCATTTGATTATTGTATATAATATTTCTTCCATTTCTTCCCTCAGTTTCTGCTGCATGAAGACTTGGTAATAGTAAAAGATAGAAAAAAGTTTATGTGGAAATAAAGGTAAATTGAAGTCTATAATTATAAAGGTGTACACTTCACAGAGCAACAGCATACAGATTAGAACTTTTAATAAGTGGGAACCTGTACACAAAGCTGTGCCTTGAAAACCACCATGATATCTGAATTCTCAATTTTGAATATATAGCAGTTTCTTCCTGAGCTTCATCTTTATTGCAAGCTTTGCAGTGTGTTTCCATTAAGCAGAATGACTACTACTACTACTGCTTCTACTACTACTACTATACACCCTTTATATCTAAAAACCTGCTTACATTTTTTATAATAAGATTAAGAAATGTTACTCAGGCTTAAGAAAGCCTTTTTAATATTTTAGCATATATGTCTCATGAACAATCTATTCTGTTTTCTTTATGGTTTTAGCATTTCAAACACTACTTCTAGGTAAGTAGCTCTAGAAATATATTTTGGGTCTGAGATTAAGAGCCAGAAAAGCCAAATAAAATGCATTGTGCATTTTGACTAAGTAACTGAGGTTTATACTTAATTACAACTTAATTATTAATGCCATATAATTAAAATGATGAACCAGTGCAATATATACTGGTTGAAAATTTTATGGTTTTGAGGCTATCCTCTGTAGTTATCCCTTTTTCAATAGGCAGAAATACAAGGTTGTGCAATTCACAGTAATTAGAAGAAACATTTCAGAATAATGTAGCACAATAATTGAAAATTTACTATGCATTCGAACAATTTCAGCTGCAGATTTGACAGTCTTAATGCCCACTGTTAAAACTATGGTTCAAACTGGTAATTGGGGGGTTGGCATTGAATGGAATAAAATAAATTATTTACTTGATTTTGTACTTGTAAAGTAGAACTGACTTGCCTTCCTGTCCTCCCTGCAAGATGCTGGGTGAAAGGCTGAGCGCAGATTTCCACTTTTTGCTCTTGCTCAAGTTCATTTGGATGTCATGTAGATGTTGACAAGGATTATATTCTATCTCTGAACATGATTCTTTTATAACTAACAGAAATTTTGGTCATTATTAATTATAAATTCAAAAATCCTAGAATAATAAAATGTTTGGGGTTGGAAAGGACGTTAAAGATCAACTAGTTCCAACCCTCTGCCACAGGCAGGGGTACCTTCCACTAGACCAGATTGCTCAAAGACTCAAAGATCTCAAATGATTTTGAAGTAACAGCATGGACTTCTATAACTATATTGGAAATACTGCATTTTTCCATGCTCATCATTTCTGCCACGTTATTGTCTTTCTATATTACTAGCTATTGTCTGTCTACATTACTAGCTTCCATTAAAAATGGTACAATTTGCAAACTGGAATACTAAAATTGCAGTGGAGAAGTTAAAGTCATGTTGAAAATCCAAAAGAGATTGGAGATTAATCATACACTATGTATTGAGGAAGTGTTTTTCCTTTACACAGAAACAAGTTTGAAAATTGAATCAAACAGCACAAATCATAACCAAGAATTTATAATAATGATCTATTCCAGGAATGTATGCAGAAATCCACAATGATTCAGATGGTTAGATGCAGTATCTTCTAAGAATGCAGTGTAAAGAATTTCCTGTGTTCCCTTAAGAGCACAAACCTTCCAGAAAAAAGACTTTTTTTCAAAAAAGGTTTGAGATTATTTTCCCAGATGGGGAGGACAAATTCACTTCTTACCAAAATTAAATCACAGCATTTTCTCTTTTAGATAATAGTTACTTTAACTGGATTGTGCTTGCTCTTTGATTATTTGTTGTATCTTCAAAGAACTTAAGGGGATGGAAATGTTTATTCAGAATTCTGTCTGCCAGTTCCCCTATAAATATGATAATCTTTAGTTGAAAAATAAATTAGTAAACACATGACATGATAAAAGATAGCTTCTATAAAATTCAGAGCCACATTCTTTTCTCAAGAGTAAATCCCAATTTTCATTAATGTTTTCCCATTAATATATAAAAGTTCAGTTTTGGCCAAATGACTTGCCATTATCTAAATAGTTTTGGTCTAAAAAGACAAATGACTTATTATACTACAAGTGATAATTTGCTTATTTTCTTAACCAGATATATCACTAATTCTATCTTTCATAAGCAAAATAACTCCTCCCTCCTATTTTAAGTCATGGTATACATTTGTCTAAGCAAGAAAAATGAAATTACCTTCCTTCCACATTTATTATTACACATCTTCATATCAAAATGCAATTTAGGACAAGGTTAAATAGAATAAATATAGCCTCTCATTGCTTTCCTCATTTTGTCTATTGCTGTTCTACTGATTTCAACTGACAAGAGCATTGAGCTGGCTGGGAAGCAAGGTAAATGCAGAAAGAACTATGAATATATTATCATCTTTATTTAGAATTTTGATAGGCTGAGACCTCACTTGTAGTACAATATTCATTGACCCTGAAATACACAATGTGAAGTAACCTCGAGATGCACAAGCTTCTGTGGGCAACAAAATATCAAATTCACATAAGGAGGCTTCACATTTAAATTACGCAAAAAACCAAGATATTTTGAACATACATTAGGGCAGGATATGGTCCTTTGAATGTTATTCTCAATGCTCGTACCAGCAGCAACCGTCATCTGCAAAAGGGGGCAACAGAGATTCTGCTGAATGGAACAAAATTCTGTACAGTACTACAGTATATTTAAATTACACCATACTAACAGATGAATTTGATCATTCAAACAAGCTTATCAAAGAGAACACTGATGTGGCTCAACTGAAATTCACACAAAGAAATTGAAAGTATTGTTACATCTCCTGGCTTGGGAAGTACTGAGAACAACCAAATAGTAGATCACTTTGGTGTTCTGCACTTTGTTCACACAAGTGGTCTCTGAAGCACTGTCAAACAGTCTGATAGCTGTGGAGAAATAATCACAGCTCCATGGCTGATTTATACCTGAGGTCTCTACATAAAGCAAGAATTTTACCTGTTTGTGAGGTTTGAAGAAAGTAGTGTCTTCTCCCCCATATTCAAACATCTTATGGAAAAACATCAAAATAAATAAACCTATTACATTATTAGGTCCAATTTACCTATTAAATTGGTAATTATTTCATTCTCAGACTTCCTTCTTGCATCAATCATAAGAGTATAAAAATAGTAGGAAAGAAGCTGTGTGCATTTAGAAAGTCTGGAAGTCCCTTCAGCTTCTGAAGAATGTATTTTAGCATTGAATGCTATTTTTCTTCCTTTTTATCACTTTCTAATTTATTTCTGAAGAGCCCAATAAATAACATTTCCTTTAGACAGACCTTGACTAGTAGGCAATCTCACCAGGCAGTATTTCCTCAGATTTCAAAATTTACTTCAGAAGAAATTAACAGCAGACATTTTCAAAGGTTCCAGATGTAAAAAACCCAGCAATACTAGACTAAAGCTTTAAACAAATTCTTTCCACTGCTGAGAGCATATGTAACAATACATACAATGTTCATGCTAATTATAGTTGAGCTTAATCATTTCTCAAAGTAAATATTGACCTAAGCTTTATTTCCGTGACTATTTAATAACTCAATAGAGTAAACCTGGTATTTGAGCAAAAAAATATGATATTTTTGGATTCAAGTATTTTTAACATATGGAAAACACACCTTATTGCAAGATATGTTTTACAGTGAATTTACTAATATAATTTGAGGAAGTTAAGCCTGTATATTACAGCTTACTTTTGCAGTAAACAAAAATGTACACATTACCAATATATTTAACAGCCACAGGCATGTATCCATGTCCATCTATCTTCAAATCACATACTTGCAATAAGCCTCTCATTTTGATTTATAACAATTTTTAAATACTTGAAATACTTTTAAACTTTCAGTTTTTTAAAGAATTATGCAATCATATTTTTAAAAAAATTAAATTTTGTATTTTAAGCAAAACTCCCTGTGTGCTGACAAGTTCTTAACTTGTTTCTGTCAGATTCCCCTTCTTTAGATTTACAGCTTTAAATATTTGAAAACATTTTTATAATGCTATTCTCTTTACTTAAAAGACATTTCACTTCATACAGAGCAGCTACTTTTGAAAAGATAATTTCCATGCAAAACAACTTCATGTTAATTCATGTTCAGATGTATTTATAACATCACTGTTGCTCCAGAATCAAAGAAAACACAGTACATATTATATCAGCATGGCACTGTTTTAAATAAACAATACTTCAGCACAAGTAAACACACACATTATAAATTTTACTCATTCAGTCTCGTGCATCTCAATTTAATCATGGTTCAATGGTTCATAAATTACATCTGTATATATATATATATATATATATATAAATATATATACACACAACTACAAAAAAAATGTTGAAACAAATGCATCTGGATTAATGTGTAAATAATTCACAAAATTTTGCATATTTTAATTTCCATATGTCTGACATATGATTTTTTGTGATAATTTTGCACTGATGTTTAAAAAGGTAGATCTACTGTATACTTTTGACTGCTGCATCTGAGCTCTATTAACTAATTTATTCTTGCTGTTCATCACTGTTAACCACAATATTCTCTCAGTAACTTTATCATAATTTTTCAAATTATCTTGTAAACAATTTTCCCCCTCTTTCCCCTTGTAAAACTGCGATGAAAGACCTAGTGACAAAAGCTATAAAATTAATTCTGTTAAATTTTAGCAGCTGATGGGGTTAAAGTGCAGTATTTTGACCATTCAGGCCTACTATGGGAAACTTAACATAGATGGACATGAGTGATCCCTGGTACTAGAATGCTGTAAGGCGATTTCCTTATAGCCATAGTAATTTCCTATCCAACTGGACTTCCATATCCAAAGTGTCAAGTGGAAGAAAAGTGAAAGAAAAATATTCCATTAAAAGTATAAAATTTGTGCATTACTTCTAAAATTGTTTTTCTTCAAACAATGTATGTAGAGGCAAATGCACCACATTGTCGTGAAGATTTTACTGGCGATCATTTGAGGTACAAAAATCTATGAAACAGTTTTGCATTGTAAGTAGTGCAGCAACTCCCATTCATGCACGTTGATAAAATATTTATTCCATTCAGGAATGCATTTAATAGTATGGCATCGACTTAGTATTTTGTACCTTAGTAATTACAACATATTAGAGTTAATATTAATGACACTTTCTATTGCACTTTGGGCTTTCTCCTTTAGAAAATATTTAAGAGAGGAGAAAATTAAAGTTTATCAGAGGAGAAAATAGGGTTAACAGGGAGACAAAATTCTGGAAATGAATCTCTAGAATATATATATATATATATATAGCATATACTTTTGCTTGGGATGAGCACTTTGGATACTATTTTCTGTATACCACGTGCAGGGGGACAGATCCTCAAGCTGTATCCTACTGGTGGACTCAGAAATGTTTCCAGTCTCCTTTTCACCTTTCTTTTGGATTTCCACATAGAAGAGCCTTATGGGAGGTTGTGACACATCTGAAAACATTTTCAGAAAATGCATCACCTACAAAATGCCCTCTAGGTGCACACACAGCCATGCTACACCTCCTGGAGATCTCAAGACCACGTGAGACAATAATCACAAATTATTGCACACATATGCAGAAAACTGGCCTGCCTTTCACAACCAGATGAAAATAGTGACAAAGGATATATGAGACTATAATTTCAAGTTTCTGTGGGAGCAATAAAATTAAATGAAGTTTTACATAATTCTCTAAATTAGCCTATGAGGAGTAGGAAAATTCATTAATTCCAACACTGTTATTCCTAACCCTACAACATGAAGCAACTGCATTTTTAGCTAGTTAATTATACTGGGCTTACATGTGATCTTGCTATCCAGGTCACATGAAAAATAATTTATTTTCCTAAGCATTAACATCATTACAATCCAAACCTTCTTCATAAGTCCCCAGTCAATGCTCTGGTAAAGCAGGAAATTCTGCACTCAGTTATGGTGCAAGCAGTACAGCTCTAATTTCAAGGCCACATCCAAAATAAGGACAGGGAATACGTAAGAAAGTCAGATTTTATAATCTCGAAAGCTGCTGAAAAATTCAAAGATGCTTACTGAATTAACTTAATTTGTTGCTATATTAATAATATAAACCAGGGCAGAATCTTTCCCAGTTCTTTTTTATTCTGTAATGTAGATTTCTGACAAGTGGAACCTATGTACTAGAAAATAATGATAATCCTGCTCTCAGAAATAAAAAAGTCTTCCTTGGAGCAAATTGTACATACACACTATGCATAAATAAATATGTTTGATGATGATAGTCTTCAGGAAAAAAAAAAAAAAAAGCAAAAAGAAGTAACAAAAACCACCTATAAACCATTTATATCAACATAGCTCTCTGGAATTTATGTTGACCTGTACACACTTTGTCCATGGGAGCACTCCCACTGAACTACAGAGTACTGCCTATCACTTCACAGTGAAATCTACATGCAAAATTTGGCAAGATCTATTCCTTAAAAGCTAGTATGTAGGAAGACAGACCTTGCAGTCTGTATAGTAGCATTGACACAGTATTGTTACATGTCAGAACAAGGTAAGCTAATACCTCATTAAGTGAACATTTTAAAGAGAAAATAAGATTCAAATGTATTTATTTACCTGTATCAAACTAACTGAACTTTATAATTATTATTTGATTAATCTCTAAAAATATTTCAATAAAATCACCACAGTTAAAATAAAAACTTACACTATAAAATATCTACTCTATTCTTGCAGGAGATACTTATTACAATGAAGATTCAGAGCAATGAAGATCACAGAAGCAGAGTTTGAGTTAATATATCCATTAAAACATCTCGAGATCATGGCTTTGTGCTGTACCAAGGTACAGAATAATTCAGGCATGTATTCCACCATTAAAAATTTACTTAATAAAAAGACTCTAAAAAGAAACTGGATTTTCTTACTTGAAAAAGAAATACATTGCCTTGCCTTTCCTTCCTAATGGTCAGAATTTCCTCCACATAAAGTCTTTTCAGTCTACAAGTTTGTTGTTTGTTTTTGTTTTTTTATTACAAGTGCTGAAAACAAAGGACATGATCATTTCACAGAAGCACAGAGTCATCAAGGTTAAAAGACACCTTCAAGATCATCTGGTCTGGCCATCAACAGCCCATCACCACCATAATCACCCCAAAGGCCACATCCAGACACCTCTTCTTGAGTGCTTCCAGAGACATTGATTCCACCCCCTTCCAGGGCAACTCATTCCAATGCTCAACCTCTCTTTCAGTGAAAAAAAATTCTTCTAATATCTAATCTCAACCTCCTTAGGAATGGCAACTTAATGGTGAGGAAGGAAGAGGCAGCAGTGCACACACATGTACATCCTGCCCTGCAAAAAGACAAGTAGGGTTTAGGAAGGTGTGTTAAGACTGATGCTAAACTGTGTGCATGGTCCTTGGGGAACAGACCTGCTGAGATCCAGGTTAGAGGGAACTTGAGCACACCTGAGAGCCTATACATGTCTCAGAAATCTCACAAATCTTGTGAGAGAGAGAAATCTCTAAAGCAGGACAAGGATCACAGGGACTATCAGAGTTTTGTTAAAAACAAAACAAAGTCAAAATTCTGGAAACACATTCAAAACAC